CTACGGTTGAACCCACTGCAGGTGATTTCCGTTTTTCATCTACTTCCTGGAACACATGGTTCTGTTTTTGACAACTTTAGTGACAGGTGCAATGATTTGTCGACTGGGCTCAGTGTCTGCGATGTGCGAGGATTTACACGTCTTTACATCGTCTGAAGCCATCTACCATCTACCATAGTTTAAATTATTCTGTTATTGTAAAAAAATGCCAACTCTCCTCACTATGAAGAATGTTTTAATATTAATCCATTTCAGACACTTGATGTGGACTGTACCATTTTAACCACCTTAGCTCAGTGCTCATCACATGACTACTTTGTTTGTTTGTGGTCCTGGCAAACATTAGTAATATAACTAGTAATATAATACTGCTTTAGCCTCAGCTCTCGTGTTAGCCTGTATTTAATCCTGCAGTAGTTGAAGCACAAACAAATGAACAAATTGCAACCTTTCTTCCTAACTACTGTTAGAAAAGAAGGTCCCCAAGGCCCTACTGCAAAATCCTACAAATAAAATACAGGCAAACAAAAAAACAAAACAAAAATAAGGCAAACAATTATCCGGAGGTAATTTGCCTCGTGGATCCAACCTTTAACATTTTGTGCTAGAAAAAAAATCCAAACCAAGTGATCTTGAGAGTGACAGGTTGTTTTCGAAAAACTATATTTTACTCTTAATTAGAGTCATCATATCAGATTCATGTCATATCTGTTTTGCATGCAGACGTTCCACCTCTGATACCAGGGAGGATGTTTGTCTCCTCATTAGAAATGCCAAGTCTAACAGAGAGATAAGAACATTTTCATCTTTGGAGGATGTTTTTTTTTTTTTTAGAACAAGGTGACTGTTGCAAACCAAACTTTTAATTGGTGAAATTAAACATTTCCTCACGTAGTCTAAACACTGCCTTAGAAAAACTGCACCACCTCCTTTAATATAGCTAGGAGACTTATTATCATGGCTCCGCACTCCTGATGACTTCTGTGCTCTGTTGTCCCCAGACAAATGAATAACTTTGCTCCAACACATTCACACCAATCAGATGATGACTTCTGTTTTTTTTATGCTAATACATAGGATTCAAATATGCCCTGCAGGAGTGAACAGCACGTTTCCTGTGCATCAGATCAAATGTCTTTCAACTATTCTGCAGTCGCTATGGCTTTTTTATTTTTTATTTATTCTTTTGTCCGGTTGCCCGGCAGACTCGAACTCACATCAGAGATTTTTTTATTGTTTTTCCAGACCTTGTAGGTTTCACCTTTTCTCCCACATCATTTCACACAGTGGAAAAGACCAAGTAGAAAGCATTACACTTTCTATTTATAGCATTTCCTGCTTTGTAGTTACAGAGAGTCTGGGGCTGTTGAGTGTTATCAAAAGGTTCACAGTTGCACAGATTTAATCATCTGCTGTGCTCTTCTGTTCACTCCCTAATGAGTCTATTAAATAAGAAAAAATAAAAGTAATCTCTTTGTTCAAAGTGACCTTAAGTTAAGATTTGGTAACTGAAGTTAATTTAAGTAGTTTAGTTTGTTTGGTTTTTCTTTTTACAGGGACTCAATTCGTTTATTTTTACCACATAGAACAGCCGGCACCAGATGTCACTGGATAATCAGGGTGAAATCATTTTCAAACATCGGAGCAAGAAAAAACCCAACCAACCCACCCTGAATGATTTTGAGTTTTGACATAAGAGACATATTGTAAATGACAAAGACAAACTCACCACCCAGCCACTTTGCTTCAGGGTCATGGATGTAAAGATCGGGACCGAACACATCGTCGACCGTCACTTTCTTTTTAAGGGCGAGGTTGTCATCTTCACCTGCAGCAGCCAGAGAGACGAGAACAGAAATGCATCAAGTCTGACAGGATTAAATTAAAGTGTGTGTCACAGGGAGTTCTGACGACAAGGGCTCTGCTTTAGTCTGTTTAAATTTAATGGAAGATTTTCATTAGATTGTCTATAAAAAAATTGATTAACACATTGCCGGGAGCGAAACTATTGCTAAGATAACATCTTGGATTATTTTATTTTACAAGTGGAAAAGATGGGAACAAGGCCCTGATTTCACAGAGCATCAGTTCAGTGATTCTATTTATCCTAGCTCTGGAATAAAATTTAAAGCGACTGACTAAAGAGCAAGTGCGGCATGTAAGAGCGGAACATGAGTGACGACGCAGTCACATGTGAGGAAGGTGACATGACAAGTGTTTGAATACTGACTGAATGTGTTTTCACACTGTTTGCAGTGATTTTCCGACAGCTCCGTCCCACTGTGCAGATTGTTCGGGGGCTTTTAAGAAAAGAACATAGCTGGGTAAATTATGTGTCACATATTGTGAAATGTTTTGAAAGCACACGTAAAAAAATATCTGAAGAAAGTTTGAAAAACTAGATATAAATATATATGTATATATTTATAACTCAGACATTTAGACTTTTGTCTTATATTTATGCTAATTCTAACGTAACCACAGTAGGTAAAATGTTATCGATGAATTTCTAGTGAGCATTTCAGTGCAGTTATATAAAAATAATGTTTTTCTTTAAGCTCACACATTCCTTCATAAAAATTATACTAACAGCTATTTATCTCATAAACTTTATGATCTCATTCTAATGACTAATTACACTGAGACAATTTATTTCCACTGACCGTAATGGGCTTCCTTACATTTCTAATGCTACAGTCATTAGTGTATAATCTTCGAAACAACTCATGAAATTTAACATCAAGACCAATATATTAATAAGGGATTAAAGATTTCCAACGCCCTCCCAGACAGAAGAGAAGAACCACAGGAGTGTCCAGGGGGAATATCAAAACAATAACGCCAACTGTAGCATTAGATAAATGAAAGAAGAAATGTCATGCAGGAAGGGAGCACTAAGACAATTACTATGTAAATGAGACGATTAACCTTATTCTGAATGAAAACATTTGTGCAATTATGTTGTTGTTGCTAATAGAATATTCATAATCTGGCTTTAAAGCGTCTAATAGGATCATGACACTCATCTGCATCAGGTCTGATTATTGGTTATTATTATTTAGAAGGTTAGGTTCACCAGGGAACGCTGTTTACGCAGCAGCATTTGCCGCCTAACGCTGTATTCACGTTGTAATATTAAATTAGAAATGAGAAAACAACAATAGGAACAACTCATGAGGGCAGATAGTGGGAACAAGAGGAAATGTCAGTGACACCCCGGCTCTCAAATCAAGTCCCAGGAGTGAGCGACGAATCGACCCACTGATCCACAGCACCAGGATCTACTGCGGTGACAGTGAAATGTCATTTGGACTACATGAGTGTGGTCACAGATGGTATCAAAGAGAAGGAAGATGATCAGAACCATGGGCAGAAATGCCAGCAGGAAACACAGCAGCTGTTCAGAAATGCTGCAAATACCAGAACATCCCACAGGTGGAGAACATCGGCCGCAGGAAGAGGACTGTCAGGAAGAATCAGAGATGGGCCTCGTTCCAGTCACCAAGTTCTACATGGAAGTAGTTGAACTGAAGAGAGATCATGTGACTGGGTCCAGTTGGTGGGAAATGCTCCATATTACAAGTTAAAAGTTTAAAAATGTGCACGTTTTTATATGCTGTCCACTGGAAGAAAATGTATCTGTTCAGTTTCCCCGTTAAGCCGGACCTCCTCAGGCCAAGAACACCAAGTGAAACCTGGGTGTCTGAGACAAGCACCATTGATGACATCTTTTAAATAAGTGGGTGATATAAGAACATCAACAAACAGAGGCACTCATCATCACTACATAAGGACATGCACTTAGTGCAGGATCAATAAGAGCTGGAGTTGGCCATAGAAAAGAAAGTCCAAGTGCAGAATGTGCAAAGACGGCCCTGAAGGAGGTAATGACATAAACAGCAGGTGTAGGCAGTCGTCGGAAACACGAGGCACGGGCTGGAAAAGTGCACAAAACATCTGTTCAAAAAGTCTCAAGGTCACACTTAGAGACACATCTTGATGTGGCTAAGAAATGATGGAGCTGAGATCCTGTGGGAACATGGGATCCTGAGCAACAAAGGATGACGGAGTGACAACGTGGGATTCTAAGAAACTGCAACATGAAGGAGAAGGAACACAAAAAGCGCGAAGAAATACCAGGGACTGACAGAAGAGCTACAAAAGACAAGGATGTGTCCCAATAACTGAGAAAGTAGTTCCAGCTAAATCCAGTATTAGTAAGGTGAAAAAAATAAATCTAGAAAAGGATAAAAAACTGTCAGGGGAAGTCCAGAACTTCACCAAGGAAAAAATACATTTAACAAATCCTGAAAAAGAAAAACCCGGAGGCTATTTCCTGACAGATCGTCCATTTAAGGCGAAACAAGCTGAGTTTTCATCAGAGAATTTCTTCTTTGAAGAATTTTCTGTCTCTCACACCTGGTCACAACCTGCTTCATCTAAGAACTGAAATTTGGTTTCTTTAAAATATTCTTTTAGTTTTAGGAAAAATCACACCAAATCAAAACCAGTTCAATAATGTAATCAAGTTAACAAAAACTGAGATGAAACGTGTTTTGTTGTTAAGTTGAGAGGAAATAAATTCACACGAGGTGCGGAGCGGAGATGACAGTGAAGTCACGACAACACCAGCGACTCGGGTCATCGGAGACGGGATCAGATGGTGTGGTGTAACTTTAGACGGGTTGGTGACGATGATGTGAGATGAGTTAAAGTGACATCATCTGAGTCGTGGGATGAGACGAGGTTTTGAAATGAGGCAAGTTAAAATATATTCCCCCAAGTTGAGCTGTGACGGGTTTAATTAAGAATTAGAGTTTAATTTGGTCCAGCTGACATCAAATCATTTGGAAATAATGTCAAATTATTTTTGTTCTGGCAGCTCAGCCCCATAAGACGGGAGGGACAACCAGTAACACACACGATTATGAAAAGAAAAACTTGAGATACACACAAAATACACAAAAGTATTATTTCTGCACTGT